ATGACGCGAGTGAGCCAAGGTCTCAGTATTGTATGTGTCCCAGCACTGCCCTATAAACAGTTACTCGGGGTCTGGCCTATGACGACCAACGGTGGACTTCTTGCAGTTGTGTGGCCCTCTACAGTGATGGTTTTGTTCTCTGTATAGAGCCGCTTGAAAGCCACAGCGCAGAAATCCTTCGCTATGGTGATCATCCACTTGGGCCCACGTAACTCTGTAACTCCTCATAGCAGACGTCGGGCGGCCTTCAAACCTGTCACAGAGGCTGGACCCTTGTCGAGTTAACCCGCGAGTCTGACATCCCAGCTGCAACTGCTGCCCGAGTTATGTCCGATAAACTGAGGATGGTCAAGAGGGTGTGCGCATGGGTACTAATTTTCTTGTAGAAGCACGAACGCAGTACCGATTCTATGCCTCTAGCAGTAATGTTCTCAGCATGAGATGTCATTCACGACTGTGAAAACGCACCCCGGCCCTAGATGAAATATGGGTGGTCTTGAACCCCGAGCCAAAACTCACAAGCGTCAATTTTGTATGAATGCAGATGAGAAGCCGCCCGAGTTCTACCATGAGGAGTTACGTGGGCCCAAGTGGATGATCATCATAGCGAAGGATTTCTGCACTGTGGCTTTCAAGCGGCTCTATACAGAGAACAAAACCATCACTGTAGAGGGCCACACAACTGCAAGAAGTCCACCGTTGGTCGTCATAGGCCAGACCCCGAGTAACTGTTTATAGGGCGTATGGTCTTGCATAGGTTAACGAAGGAAGGAGAGAATCTCGCAGTAAGTTAGGGAAGTTGCCCTGCCGCAAACCCGACCTCCTAGGATGACTTGAGAGGTGCGCCATGCTTCGGTTTCTTGTCAAAACAGGAAGATGTCTGCGATATGTAATCCCGGCATATATGACACCTCGCGAAGTTCCGTGACCATGACGTAACAGATTTCTCTGCTTCGCAGGAAGCAACCTGCATAAGTACAATAATACATCAGCGGAAAACATCAGGGTTACCATTTGGCGAAAAATAAATTTGCCCCATTTCTAAAATAATTTGAAAAAATCAAAAAAATTAGCAAATAATAAATTGATAGAACTCAGGGTTCGCGGCAGCTGACTCGCCACTTGGTATTTTGTTCCGTGAGAAATATCCATCTCTGGCACATGGGTATTGTAACCGAAAAGGATTACTGGGACGTGAGCTTTCCAAAAAAGAGCTCAACAGTAGCACATGCCATCCGCGACCCTATCGCGACCTTCTGATGGTTCGAGAACCAGCGCGGGACGTGAGGTTTCCACGAAAATAACCCCTGAATGTGTGTACGGACGGATTTGAGTCGGCGACGATGGATTATCATTGAAAACACTTGCAAATAAACCGGGCGCCAGTTCGAGATCGATATGAGTGTGCGGCTTTCAATGTATCAATACCGAGACACCAATGTTTTTATCACGCGCCTGGCATTTATTATATTAGATCATCCCATTCAAAAATGTGGAAGGTTTTATTCATATAAGACGAAGAGGAAAACAGATAAAAAAATTAAAATTTTGGCGTTAGGTTAAAGGCAGCGGCCGCGTTCATTTGATCAGCAGGGCTGCGAGGATGTCAGTAAATTCGCAGCTCAAAAACACGAGAGGATAGCGCCACCCGCTTGTAAAAGGACACCTATCCACCATAACTGCTTTGGCTTAGCCTTTAAAAGGCTGAGCCGCTTTCAAGAATAATGAGTTATGGAGCTCATATAATACGTGATCCAGTAATGAAGAAAAAAGCAGAAAAAAAATCATGGAAAATGCCCTACATAGAACCCTATGCTGGTCAGGTGGGCGGGGCGGCCGACTCTTCTCCAGCGGACGGCGCTATCCTCTCGCCTTTTTCAGACGTAAAACTAGTACCTATTACCTCCTCATAGGGAGGGCTACGATATCCAGACAAGGCGCGGGAACATCAAATGAACGTGGGGCTGCCTTTAAGTGGATTTCATCCTCAGTCAGATGATCTCACAGGCTCGAAAGCGTCTGGACACTTGCGACCATAACCTTTGCAAACAAGTGCGAGGTTAGATTACTGTTGATGCCGCATTTCTCCGAATGACACAAGCGTTTGCTAGCCGCTTGCCGTCGGAGAGTTAACTTCGGACTGAAGAAACAGTTTGAATCGAACGGTTTTGTGTTGGCATGAATGAGGCCGATGAAGCCAGGTCTCAGTCATTGTATGTGTCCCAGCCACTACCCCTATTTCGGGTCTGCCCATGACGACCGACGGTGGACTTTCTTGCAGTTTGTGTGGGCCCTCGCTGTGATGCGTTTTGTGTTCTGTATAGAGCCGCTTGAAAGCCACAGCGCAGAAATCCTTCGCTATGTTGATCATCCACTTGGGCACCCACGTAACTCCTCATAGCAGACGTCGGGCGGCCTTCAAACCTGCTTTCATACGAAATTGATGCTTGTGAGTTATGGCTAGGGGTTCAAGACCACCATATTATTATCTGGGTCGGGGTCGCGTTTTCATAATCGATTAAGCTCATTCGTCACGCCCGCGAGAACATTACTGCCTACAGGCGCAGAATCGGTACTCTGCGTTCGCTGATCTACAAGAAATTATTAGGGTGTCCACAAAAGTTCGTTGCGCCATTCGTTGGTTTTCAGAGCTGCGCGGTAAAGATATCTCACCAAGTTGAACTTACCGGTCCATGATATAATCTCCATGCATACCCACTACCTTTCGCCAACGATCGGGTAGAGAGGCAACTCCATCCTCCCAAAAGCTGGCCGGCCGCGACTCGGCCCAGTCCTCGATCACGTCCTCGAGGTCGCGCTCGTTCTTCAGCTGTTTTCCGTCCAAGAAATTTTGCATGGACCGGAAGATGTGGTAATCGCATGGACTAATGTCCGGGCTATACGGTGGATGCGTGATCGTCTCGATGCCCAGCCTGTCCAGGACGGCCTGAGTATCTCTCGCTTTGTGGGGGCGCGCGTTGTCTCAGAGCAACCACGGATGCAAGTTTCTGGGACAAGGCGGCAGCTTTCACCTTGACCTCCTGCAATTCTTTAGAGAGGGTCTCTGCCGTCACTGTGGCATTGTTGGGTAGGATGCTGTAGTGGACGACGCCGTGGCGAGAGAACCAGAAACCTCGGCATATTTTCGATGCCATAGTTTTCATTGGTGAGGCGAGTCCACCATTTTGACATCCAGTTCTTAGAAGGGGTGTTATTACCAAACTGCTGACGCATCCTGGTCGTGGCCTGACGTCTGGAGATGCCCAGGTTGTAGTAGTCCAGCAAACATCGGCGGCTGCGTCAGGTGACCTAGTCAGCTCATCTTGCACTAGCCTTTATTGTAGGGAAGACAGGAAAGGAAATTAGAGCTAGGCTGCTCAAGAAGATAGCCATCGCGAGTACTTTCAGTATTGCGAAATCTTTATGCAAAATCACAACGCGTTGCGTAACGCGACGCTGTTTACAAATGGCCAACGAACTTTGTGGACACCCTAATAAGCTTACTCGTTACGGCATACCCCTCATGACCATACTCAATTTATCGGATATAACTCAGGCAGCAATTGCAGCAGGGTTGGCAGACTCGCGGGTTAACTCGACAAGGGTCCAGCCTCTGTGAGTGTTCGGCCAACAATTGGCTCAGACAGATGTTTGACTGTATGACACGGTGGATGGGACTGTTGGTCGAATGCCTGGACAAAGACAACCACATGGACTTTTCAGGGTAGGTTGTTGCGATCGATCCTGGAGGTCAGAATCATGGGTGTCTACGTTGGCTGTCTTCGGCATGCTAGGTCAGAAGTCATTGGAAACTGGTCGACGTTCATGCTTTCGAATAAAAGATGAGTGCGTAGCGCATACCTCGAAGAGTTAAACAGCGTCATGTTGCACCTACAAAGAGGACTGTCATGAGTTGTGGCAAACGACAACTCATTTCGCTCACCCCCTTCCCTCCCTCACCACCCCACTCCAGAGTCCGTCAAGCTGATAGGACATTTGATCATCTACAGGTAAAGGTGGAGGGGCGAGTGAGATGAGGGAATCACCAATCAAAAAAAACAAACATTGAAGGTCAAATACAGCCAGGGGTTCGTGATCCTGCAACCATGTCAGGGGAAAGGTACGATTACGGACAACGCATCCTCCAAGGATCACACTTCAGTCAATAAATACACTGCAATTCAACGAGAACTTTATTGAAGCTACACAAAAAAGGTAATACTGCAGGAACCCTTAATAGACTATCAAAAATACCGTTTCATTTGATCCAAAACAACAATGAAACAGCGGGAAGGCAAAATGGAATGACAAACGTCAAAGCGAAAATATACTAGAGAGATCAAAACACGTATAAGAATCGGTAGAAGCTGAACGTACAGCTGAGTTGTGCTGTACAGTTCCGCACGCTGGCGTACTCAAAGCGGCATGGTGCAACTCATCTAACCTTTTCCAAACCACGAAAAATATAAACAAATTCGACAAGTTTCACAGGAAATCGAATACTATATACCGGATCGAGAATAACACCAGAGGTTTTTGATTTTTAGTTTTTTTTTACATTAGGTACAACTGAATCAAAAATTGACTAATGAAAATTACGAATGAATTGAAAAACTGAATAGAAAAATATGGAAATTACAAAAAAAATCACAGGATTGAGCAGAGACCTTACGTTCCGTAGCCTTAACGACCGTAAGAAATCAGCGGCGCTTTGGATGACTATCTATTCTATTTGATAACATATCACGCAGCACAACTACTCGCGTCTTATCACAATTCTTTTTTTCAATTTTTGCATATGCTCAAATGTTTAAATTCTGCGCCGCTGTGAGTGTAAGTCAAACAAGTCACAGAACAATGCTTAAAATCAAATGAAATCAATGTATAATACACATTCCGCCGCATATGTACATCATTTGGGAGCTCTACTATGCTTATCGATTTTGTCGAGCGATGCGACTCTGTCCCCTCTTCGAATTGTCCATGAGGGACATCCACATTCAGGCAGCCGAAGTATGGCTAGACGAACTGCTGGAAGGTACATTAAATGTGATCTGAGGAGGTGCGTCATCTGCTGCCACATTATCGGGAACATCCGGAGCTCCAGCGACTCGGAACGACGACATCGTCCGTACACGTGGGCGAATCGGCACTGCACCACGTGAGTAGATGTTCGAGAGGGCTTCGCGGAGCTGAAGCAAAATATATTGGCAATTGTAAAAATTGCTACCTGAATTCTACACCTAAGTTCTAAGGGGCCAAAATCTTCCAGAACTACTGTGCTGACGGGGCACGGTTAAGTGACACTACAGGGAAGGGTTTTCTCTTCCTACGCATGGTTAGCAGGTTGCCAGCCGTAGAGTACCCCTTTTGCCACTCGAAAATGCGCTATAATGAAAATAGAGGTTGGTATTCGACGTACCATACGGATTTCGTATTCGAGCGTTGGAGTCACCTCGAGGAAGTGCAGATGAACAGCCGGTGTTCGCTTATGGCGCCCTCACTCTCCCACCTTT